ATAGTTGGAGGCTTTCTCTTCCTTGCAGCTGAACTGGTACCTGATGTTCTTGTTCTCACAAAAGGGCCCAGGGCCCAAGTGAATCTGCTGAGATGGGTCCCTGAAGGTTTCCAGAAAGGGGCCTGGGCAGAGCCTGCAGGGCACTCAGAGGACGTGTGTGAAGCTAGATGAGCTGGGTCTGAATGAAGGGAAATACTAGGGCCCACGGGGAAACGGAGTAGGCAGACACCCTACGACGTACGCAGAAAGAAGTTTAATGCAAGGGCAAGGGCTGTTCGAGATGGGGCTGAGAGTAGCATGGCTGCAGGCCAGGTCGTCAGGTGCCCTGAGCTGACGGAAGTCAATTGCTCCGCTAACGATGGGAAAAGCCTTGGTTATATTTTGAAGGGATCTGGTTAACATGTTCCCTTTGGCTGCTTAGGGATGTGATTTATAGACAGCAAAGTCACTTAGGATAATAAAACCCCCAGGCCTGGTGGTAAACTGCTGAGATTTTTCAAGAAGAAAGGCACCATTTAAACATCTCAATCAGCTTTTCTCCAGTGAGTGATATCCTGAGGAAATAGGCTTCAAACGTGTCTCCATCCTTCACACGTTCAAGAAGAAAGATGAGAGAAATTGAGAAAAAAAATACTAGAAGGGCTGCATTCATTTCAAATATTTGACATTAGGAGAGTCTTGGAGCAGGTTTGTAAGAACTATAACTCCCAGCAGGCAGGGGTCCACTATTCTCTTCTTCCTTATAGGAGAGTCTTGTAGCAGGTTTCTAAGACCTACAACTCCCAGGACGCAGGGGTCCACCACCGTCTTCTTCCTCCTTTCTAAAAGCTCTTAATTGACTGAGAAAATTTGGGTTAAAAATAAATTGGTGTTTCAGGCCAGCCTGGGCTGCGTAGCAGACTCTGTTTAAAAAAAAGAATAGGAAAGGTTGTGTGTGGTGCTGCACGCCTTTAATCCCAGCACTCAGGAGGCAGAGGCAGGCAGATCTCTGTGAGTTAAAGGCCAGCCTGGTCTACATGGTAACTTCCAGGACAGCTAGGGCTACACAGTGAGACCCTGTCTCAAAAACCTAAAATTAGGGGAGGAAGAGAGGAGAGGAGGGGGTTGTAGAAAAGGGAGGTCAAAGGAAAGAAAGAAGGGAGAGGAGAGGAAAGGAAAAGGAAGAGAGAGAAGAAGGGAGGGAGGGAGGAAAGAAAAAGGAAAAGAAGCAAAGAGATATGGGGAAGCGGAGAGAGAAAGCCCATTTGAATGAGTCTATCCTGTAATAGGAATATGTGTCATTTTAAAAATAGCTTATCTTCTATACGTTACACCCAGCTGGGCTATGGCCTTTCTGTTCAACATCTTTTCTTTCCAAGTGAATAAAATCTTAAACTCTGAACATAACCTTTGTCTGTAGAGGCACCACACTGACAATGGCCGTGCCTCAAAGTAGCCTCGTTCCCCTGGGTCACAGCGCAGCAGGCACACGCTCAGCCACAAAGGCTCCACACTTGAAAGACAGAAACCAGTTGTTCCCTATGTCTACAAAGCACCAAAAGCCATAAATGATGTTCTGAAATTGGAAACAAGGAAACAAAACAGGTGATCCATTTTCATGCAGTAGCACGCTCCAATAAAAACACTTCTACTTACATAAACATGAAATCTTCATAGAAATTAAGGCCAGTTATGATGGTTTGTTCCATGTGCCAACTTGCCTGGGTTAAGGAACACCCAAATAGCTGGTCACATGTTATCCGTGGACATGGATGTGGGGATGTCTCCAGCAGAGATGAGCATGAGGAGCTCCCTGCTTCTACCATGGGCTCTACTGGAGGTTCTGGGAGTTGAACCAGGTTGTCAGGTCTTGCTGGCCCGAGATGAGGAACTGACTCAGAAGGCTGACTTCAGACTGAGTTCATCGTCCTCACAAATGTGGCATGAGCAACCCAGCGCAGGCCTGGGTGGATGGAAGGTGAGGAAGGATGAGTCTGTTCTCCACCTGAACTGGGCTCTTCATCGTCTCCTGCCCCCCAGACACCAGCACTCCTGACCTTCACATCAGATGAGCTGCCCCGGTTCTCGGGCTTTAGGCTTGGACTGGAGCTGTACCCCTAGCTTTCCTTGGCCTCCATCTTGCAGACATCTGCTCAGCCTCCACAGTCACGTGATCTGACCTGACCCCCCTTGTGCTAGATCTCTACATAGCTGTGTGTTGGCTTTATTTCTCTGAGGAATGCTGACTAATATACCAGCCAAAAGAAAAGTGACGGCTAGTTCTTTAGTGCTTGTGTGGGAGTCAGCCTGAATCCCTTGCATTTGGCAGGAACTCAGAGGCGGGCCGAGGAGTTAGACATCTTTAAAGCACAAAAGGAGGAAGGATTCAGTGATGCCCTGGTTGGAGACCTTCCACATGGGAAACAGCAAGCAGACTGACAAAGGAAAGACATCCCTGTCACCAGATTTCTCTGGTTGATCCAAAGTTAGAAGGAGAGGCAAAATTAGGAAGATATTGGTTGTTAATCGTGTCCTGAGCATTTTGTGTCAACTGTTACAGAAGTGATTGTTCCGGGTTCTGGAATGGCACTAGAGACAGGCATCTGATCTGGTGTCCCGCAAGTCTGACACACAGCAGCCTGGCTTCCTGTGCTGTGCCTTGTACATAAGGGGATGGTTTCCTGGACTGAAGACTGCAGGTCACGGTTCAGAGTTGTCATATGTGATCAGGTGGTTGTCCATGTGCACAGTTTATCTCCCATCTTTCAGACAGGCTGCTGTCTCCTGGCAGCTAACCTCTAGCCAGCAAGGAAATTTCCAGCATATCTAGAGAGCCATTTTGGGAGATCGTTAATTCGCATAGGCCACTTTGTCCAGAGTGCCTGAGGATGTACCTGCTTAAACCAGGACACTCTCCTAGCTCTGCACCATGACAGCAAGGAGAGGCGGGAGGTAATGGTTATAGCAGCGGAGAGCGCTAAGAGAAAAAGAAGATGGTACTGTGGTTCTCAGCCAAGGCTTAAAGCCTTGTGGACAGCTCTGAGCACGTACTAATCCTGCAGCGCCTCCCACCCATCCCTCATCCCACCCCCTTGTCTTAAAGATTCTGCTGTAACAAAGCAAGGCTGAGCACTGGGGATTTTCCCCCAAAACTTCCCTTGTGATTTTAAGATGCAGCTTGCATTGGCAGCTCATGACCCACATGAATAATGACCTTTGAGAGACACCACGGAAAGCGTTGAGCAATTAGTGACCATGGAAGAATCGGGGCAGGTAGCCAGGAAGCCTTGATCTTTCAGTCCTGCAATGTTGAGCTTTAGAAATATAAAATGAGTGGGAAGCTAAGCCAGAATAGCAAATAGGTAGAGGTCACAGTGTATGAGAGACTCAGGATGCAACATGAGAAAGCTGCAGCATCCAGTGTGCTTAACACACGTTCAAGCCAGATGGGTCCCAGCACTGAGGGGTGTAGCCTCCGGTTCCCACCTCTACACAAGGAGAAGCTGTCTACAACTGGCACCTGCTGGCACAGGGAAAGCCAGTTTTCTCCATTGGAGTATCCCGGGGCTCATCACCCACACTCCAAGGAAGGCCTTGTGCCCAGGAGTAGTTGGACAACACAAAACGAACCCCCAGGGTTTCGTTTGGACATTTTGTTTTGGTCTGTTTTGTTTTAGTATTTTTTTTTTGGGAGGGGGGGTCTGGTTGGTTTTTTTGAGGGTTTTTGTTTGTTTGTTTTATTTTTCATTTTTGAGTTTTTATGAGTTTATTTTATTATTTTTTTGGGGGGGGGACAGAGAGAACAAAGTTGTGTGGGCAGGGAAATAAGGGGGAGGTGAAAAACATAATCAAATATATTATATGGAAACTATTTTAATGGCCCTGGGACAAGACATCACCTGTGCTGAGCTGCAGCCTTTGTTTTTATTTTTAACCATTAAAAATGTTCTTTTCATGTTAAAATGCCCATTTATCATGATATAGTTTCCATGTGGTGCATATGTTTTTTGATGTAAGCACGTGCATCTCTTGCCTACTTTAAATAGAATTCAGAATAATTGAATTTTGGCAATAGAAACTAAAGTATACACACACACACACACACACACACACACACACACACACACACACACACACCCCTCACACATGCCACACACTTAATCATCTACTTCTTATTTCTTGTCATTTCTAAATTTCCCCGGCTGGTTTACTTGAGTTTGATACAACATCACCCCCTGGTGGAAATTACTAGAAATGAACCTGCTTGATGTAAGACTCCTAGCTCATCAAAATACTGTTGCCTCTGAAGCCTCAGCATAGCTCTTTCTTCAAACAAAATCGCATGCTAAACCTCAACAGAAAAGTGAAAATGAGCTATACTGGGAATTTTCTCTTCTCTGCATTTTAAAATAACTTTTAAAGATTTATTTAATGTATATGTATGTATGTGTATGTGTATGTATGTGAGATGGAATAGCAATGGCCCCCATAGGTTCATATATTTGAATGCTTGTTCATCAGGGAGTGGCACTACCTGGGAGGGGCTGGGGGTGTGGCCTTGTTAGAATAGGTGTAGCCTTCCTGGAGTAGGTGTGACTTTGTTGGAGGAAGTGTGGGGTGAGCTTGGAGGTTTCAAGGGCCCAAGGCAGGCCCAGTGACCCTCTGTCTTCCTGATGTCTATGGATCCAGATGTAGAACTCTCAGGTCCTTCTCCAGCACCATGTCTGCCTGCATGCAACCATGCTTCCGTCCTTGATGATAATGGACTAAACTTTTGAAACTGGAAGCCACCCCCAATGAAATGTTTTCCTGTCTGAGAGTTGCCATTGTCATGGTGTCTCTTCACACAAACAGAACACTCACTAAGATGTATGAGTGTGCCCACGAAGGCCAGAAGAGGGTGTTGGACCCCTGAGACTGTAGTTACAGGAGGTTGTGAGCAATCTCAACTGCTGAGCCGTCGTCTCTCAGCCTTGTCGCTGTATTTATGACCAATCTCACCCCCCCCACACACACACAAATACCTTCAAGATAGACTTTATTATTCAGAAAAAAGGTAATTTCCTCCAGAATTAAATGGCGTCCCTGCCCCCAAGATTGCTTATCTCAGTGAATGGATACATCTTTGTAGCTAGAGTTTTCCTGCCTTGCCCACAGTTAAGACAAATCTTTGTCACCCACCAGTCCCACAGACCCAACCAAGTAAACACAGAGACTTATATTGCTTACAAACTGTATGGCCATGGCAGGCTTCTTGCTAACTGTTCTTATAGCTTAAATTAATCCATTTCCATAAATCTATACCTTGCCACATGGCTCGTGGCTTACCGGCATCTTCACGTGCTGCTTGTCATGGCAGAGGCTGGCAGTGACTCCTTCTGCCTTCCTGTTCTTTCTTTTCTACTCTCTGTTAGTCCCGCCTATACTTCCTGCCTAGCCACTGCCAATCAGTGTTTTATTTATTGACCAATCAGAGTAATTTGACATACAGACCATCCCACAGCACATCTTCTCCCAAGCTAAGAGCACTCCCAAGGGTCCTCAATGCACAGGGACAAGCTAAAGGCTCCAGATAGACCTAAGTTAGGGAATCACACTAATTTACTCAGCTCAGCAATTCTCAAACTTATTTTATCAGAAGACACATTCCTTTCCTCCCCAATACTCTTTAACATGAAGAATACTTTGTATTGTATGTCATTTAAAATGACTGTTCCGTCTCCATTAGCAAATTAGCTTTTTGGTCGCATAGACTACTCAATCTTCAACAATGCTCATTCACTCTGCAGTCAGCCAGCTCTCGATCATTTGTGGTAATGAAATATGCAGCCTAGGCGACTGTCAGGGTAAATCCCTGTTGTCAGCTTGACAAGGTGGGAGACTGCTTAGGCGAGTATTAAACCACCCCTTTGGGTGGGGCGGAGGGTAGATACAGATGACCTAATCAATGACTTCATCCATTGATGCATTCAAGAATGAACTATTGGTAGAAGGGAGAAGTTTGGGAAGTGGGGGCTGGTTGGAGGGGGTAGATACCTGGTGTGGGGGGAGAGGCTGTATCTGGCCCCGATCCGTCCTGCTGCCTCTCCACTCTGCTTTCTTGCAGGCATGAGTGGAACAGCTTGTCCTGAAGGGCCCTCCCTGGCGTGATGGACCAAAACAACGAGCACAGTATTTCTTTAGGTTGTTTCCACTAAGCGCTTGGTCCCAGAAACACACGCAGTGACAGACACGCAGCCGCTCCTTAACTGGTGCCACTTTCATGGGCCCCTCCACCTCCATCTTCTGCTATCATTACCTGCGGAGGGGAGGGAGCAGCTGCCGCCAGGGCTGCCAATAACCATGCTTGGCCTTCAGCTACACACAGGAGGCCCGGACTGCGTGCTCTTATCTAGAGGGGTGACAATACTTACTCGGTTGGCTCTGTGACCTAAGAGGATCGTGCACAGCTCTACAGCTGACAGGGATACAAGTGTTTCCCACACCTTGTCTCCTCTTACGGGTTTATGAGCTAAAGATACAAAAATCCCTATCATTTACATCATTCATACAAATTGGCATTAGATCCTTCCCAAACGTTACCCTATATAACAAGTATTTTTTAATAACACATGTTTTGACAAAAACGGAGCTTTGTGCCCTGCATCATTAGTGACAAGCTTTCTGAGACTGCTGCTATGTGCTGCGCGATTTCTAATTTTGGAAACAAAGAAGGTCAAATTCAACTTTCAAGCAGTGGAGACGTTTTGAGGGCCGTTATGGACCTTACGCTGAGCGTTGGCCGATATCACCTGGGGTTATCTGCTGTCGTTTGGTGTCAGCTACAGTTTTGACACAGTAGCTGGGGTCCTGAGAGTATGGATCCACTCCATCACCAGCCTGGTGGCTTCCAGAGCAGAGCCCCAGTGCACTGAGACGCCCCCACTCCCATGGCCGTAGTTGTGGACCACAGGCAGCCTCTGACCCCCTCGGGCTAGCATCTCCTTCTGCAGACGCACCTCTGGCCGGCTGGGCCTCAGACCCACTTCCTCCTTTATGTTAGAGGCTCTGCGGAGGGAGGGCTCGAGAGCGCAGCAGCGAGAGAAAATCTCTCTGCTAAGTTCCGCATCTGGGGATAGATTCCAGTCTCCTTTGTGTCTGGTGCCTCCCAGGGTGACGTAGGATGTACCAGGATAAACGTACGTCAGACCACTCCCATCTCGGATGAAATGCTTCACCCAGGGGGCCTGTGCCTGGAGCACTTGGCCCCTTACAGGGGAAATCATGGAGTCTCCCACCAGCTGTCGGCTTCCCAGGCCTGAGCAATTGACCACAATGTCAAAGGATGGCTGCAGCTCCCACAGGTCTTCTATTCTCCTGGTGAGTAGCAGACCTCCACATTCCTTTAGCCTGGGAAAGGAAGACAGGGGTGAGCTACAGCCACCTCTCACCCACTTCCCAGAAATGAAGGTCAGGACCACAAAAACAGCAACAAGCTCTCGGGAGCTCCAGGGCTCACAGCATCACAGTCTAGCTCCATCCTGGGCCAATGGAGACTCTTATGGTTAATCCTAAATGAAAACCTACCTTGGAAATCCAAAACAAAGAAAATCATATGTCTTGCTCTTAAAACATTTTGCAGAGTTCCTATAGCTAGATGTGAAATAAATACCAAATTGACCTGTATTTTAAACACCCAAGCACTTCTTGTTCAGACACTACTGCCTCCACATCGCCTCACACCTTGTTAATTTTTGCATTCGCTTTTGTATAAGTCAGCTCGCTCTGGTAGATAGTTGCTGTCTCTGTCTGTCTGTCTGTCTGTCTCTGTCTCTCTCACACACACAGAGCAGGGAGGGAGAGGGAGGGAGAGTTTTCACAAAAGGATGAAAACATACAGCTGATGGATTAAAATGACAGCTTTGGGGGGGCAAATACTTCAATAATGAGAAGGAATGGCCAATCAAGCTTCGTAATCATTGTTGGATTGTAGAATGATATATACAGCCTAAAACCTCACCACTTGGGCCATTTTGAAGTGTACAGCTCAGTAGCATGTTGTAAGTGGCAGGAGGTAAGCTCACATTGTCACACAACCACTCATTCCAGCAACTCTCTTTATCTTGAATGTGGCAATTCTGTAGCCATTTAAAAAAAATAAATAACCCCGGTAATCTTGTCATCTTAATCCTATAATCTTGTAATCCTGTCGTCACGTTCCTAGGTTCCTTACCGGATACAGGGGATTTAACATAAGAGACTCCTGGCAGCTCTGTCCAACAGATGCAGGTTGGTCATCTAGAGGCAGAACATTGCTAAGAGGGGCGAAAATATTGTAAGATACGGTGCCCTTCCTCAAGGGCCAGAAAAAGAACTTGGAGACAGTGTAGATGGCTGGCAGAGTGAAGCTTTAACATACAGATGCGCGCGCGCGCACACACACACACACACACACGCACGCATTGGCACCATCTCAGGGGAACTCTGACAAATAGAGTGACACCCCAGAGGTGTCTGTCTCCTTGTCTACTGTCACCCAAGCACATCCCAGAGAGAATATGGGGAGACGAGACTGACAAGAGAGACAGAGGTTTGGGGGCCTGTGCCTCCATCCCCCCGCCTCAGACATCGGAAGTGCCCACGCTAGTTCTCAGCACACCTCCCTTCCATGCCAGATGAACAAAGGTTTCATGAGAAGGAAAACAGAAGAAAAGTCAGAAACTTCTGGACGTAGCCCAAAGACATGGCCAGAAGGTGTACCGACTTCTGGACGTAGCCCAAAGACGTGGCCGGAAGGTGTACCAACTTCTGGACATAGCCCAAAGACATGGCCGGAAGGTGTACCGGCAGCAGAGTGCCACCACTGATTTTAACCCCACAGGAAAACACTCTGACATTCTACCCCACTTCCTAGCTGGGAAGTTCAGCTGAAACTTGCATTGAGATCTGGGAGGAACTGGCCTTTGGACACTGGTCCCCAGTTCTAGAAAACACCACAAGTGGAGGACAGCATCACTGCTGGCATCATCCCAGGCCTGAGAGCAGCTCGGCTTTTGTGAGTGGGGTTCTGTCTTCACAGCTCAGCAGATGGGGACTGCTGTCCGAGCCCCAGCCCCTTGCTCGCCCAACCCCCCACACACACACTGGAGGGACAGCTCCCATAGTACCACTGAGCAATGTAAAGGACAGCCAGAAACCTCTGGCTTGGATTCATGTGTTATATATTAAATATTTACAGAAGGCCCAGCTGTGCTAAGCCCTCATAATTTGAACCTGGAGTGTACTTTCCATTCAGTCCAAGAGGTTGTTTCAAGCACTAATTTTCACTCTATGTATCCTTGCTTGTTATTCAGAAAACCAGTGGAAGGCTGTGGCATTTACCTGCGGCAAGAAAATCAAAGACATCCATCTACAGAGGGCCACAAATAACCAATGAAAACCTCTAGTGTGACTGAGAGACTAAAAGGAGTGAGAACGTGTTTCCACTCTCTCCATGGAACAACTGGATTGGAGGTACGCTTACAATCACTGGATGTACACTAACAATCACTGGATGTACACTAACGATCACTGGATGTACACTAACGCTCACTGGATGTACACTAACAATCACTGGAGGTACACTTACAATCACTGGATGTACACTAACAATCACTGGATGTACACTAACGATCACTGGATGTACACTTACAATCACTGGATGTACATAACAATCACTGGACATACACTAACAATCATTGGATGTACACTAACAATCATTGGATGTACACTAACAATCACTGGATGTACATAACAATCACTGGATGTACACTAACAATCACTGGATGTACACTAACAATCATTGGATGTACATAACAATCACTGGATGTACATAACAATCACTGGACGTGCACTAACAATCACTGGATGTACACTAACAATCATTGGATGTACATAACAATCACTGGACGTACATTAACAATCACTGGATGTACACTAACAATCATTGGATGTACATAACAATCACTGGATGTACATAACAATCACTGGACGTACACTAACAATCATTGGATGTACATAACAATCACTGGACGTACACTAACAATCATTGGATGTACACTAATAATCACTGGATGTACATTAACAACCACTGGATGTACACTAACAATTACTGGATGTACACTAACAATTACTGGATGTACACTAACAATCATTAGATGTACACTAACAATCACTGGATGTACACTAACAATCACTGGATGTACACTAATAATCATTAGATGTACACTAACAATCATTGGATGTACACTAACAATCACTGGATGTACACTAACGATCACTGGATGTACACTAATGATCACTGGATGTACACTAACAATCACTGGATGTACATAATAATCACTGGATGTACACTAACAATCACTGGATGTACATAACAATCACTGGATGTACACTAATAATCATTGGATGTACACTAACAATCACTGGATGTACATAATAATCACTGGGTGTACACTAACAATCACTGGATGTACACTAATGATCACTGGATGTACACTAACAATCACTGGATGTACATAACAATCACTGGATGTACACTAATAATCATTGGATGTACACTAACGATCACTGTATGTACACTAACATGTAGTGGTAATATCTCTGCCCATGACCTTGAGCTATATGGCCCAAAGGAGGTGGGCGGTGCTTCCTGCCATTGTACATGACCTCTTATAAGGGAAGGGAGAAAGGTCACATGCCCTTTCTCCCTGCTCCTAGCTGAGAAGTGGATTCGTTCCCAGTCAGGTCAGAGGACGACTTCAGCTGTCTACTCTGTTCTGTATTCATGAGTGTATTTTCTCAATTTATATCTTAATAAATTCTGCTGCCCATTTAATAGACTCACGTGGATCAATCGTAATACTAACAGACCGTGTTTTTAAAGGTGAAATAATTCTCTCAGGCCGAACACTGCCAAAAGAAGAGGAAATTGGCGTTTTGTGGCAGCACTAACCAGAACTCTGTTCCAGGTTTGTGATGTTTAGGAAATAAACACCACCACGGAAAGGCAGAGTGAAAGGAATCTAGGAGTCAGGAGGTGGGGAGGAGTGCTGGGGGGAAGTGCCTACTGGACATTATACAGCTGTTGCTCTCAGGAGCTCCCAGCAGCTGTTGTGAACTGCACAAGCCTGGGCCCATCAACATTTCACCATGGCTGAGGAGGGCTCGGGAGACTCCACCCTTCCCTCTGCAGCTGCTGGAGGAGGAGGTACTGTTTACCCCAGTGGTGTAGCCACTGATAATTTTCCCGTTTTCTAGAAAATAAATAACCCCCAACCCAGGTCCTGCAAGTAACCCTAATTAAACTCAATGGGTCACAGAAAAGAAAAAGGAAAAATACACAAAAGTGGGACAGGAACAAGGGAATCCGCGGCTGATATGTAAAATTAAATTAAATTATTAAAAAAAAAAAGTAGGACAGGAGCTGTCTGGAAAGAAGGATGTTTAGGTTTTGTTTGTTTTAGCTTTTGTTGCCTGGACACAAGCTGGAGTTATCTGAAAAGAGCAAACCTCAAAAGAGAAGATGCCCCCATTAGATTGGCCAGTTGGCAAGCCTGTGGGCACTTTCTTGAGTGATAATTGATGTGGGAAGGCCCAGCCCACTGTGGTTGGGGCCACCATCCCCCCCCCCCCCGCAGGTGGTCCTGGGTTGTATAAGAAAGCAGGCTGAGTAAGCCATGGGGAGCAAGCCAGTAAGCAGCACTCCTCCATGGCCTCTGTGTCAGCTCTGGCCTCCAGGATCCTGCCTCCAGGTTCCTGCCCTACTTGAGTTCCTGTCTTGACTTTCCTCAATGATAGACTGTGGTTGGAACACGTAAGCCTAAAAACCCCCTTTCCTGCCCAAGTCGCTTTGGTCTTGGTCACGTGGTTTTACCAGAGCGGTAGAAGGTGAATGGGAGAAAAGGGTTTCAGCAGAGGAGGGAGGGAGATGAGAGGGAGTAATGAGGGCTGGAAACAGCTAAAAATCCATTTGATACACACAAGAAGCTGTCAAAGAAGAAAAGAAAGCAAGCACCAGGGAGAGACCTTTGGGAAGTGGGGCCGTCTTCCCCTCGCTTTCCCCATAACTTTGTTAAGCTAGTCATCTTGCCAAGTGTTTACCCTTCCCTTCCTCCATATTGCCGCCCTCGTCAGCTCATTGTAGAAAGGAAAGGAAACAACATCTGGACCAGGGCCGGCAAATGCGTGCCGCACCACAACATCTGGACCAGGGCTGACAAATGCGTGACGCACCAAAGCTGCAGTTGCTCATTTTCCTAGAAAATTAAGAAGGATCAAGGGTTTGTCACACGTCTATAGAACACAAGCCCCGCTCTGTGACCTGTGGGTAGGTATGCTCCACGTCTACATGTCACGTATTTTTAACTATG